CTGCTGCTTTTTTGGTTTTGGTTTTTTTTTTTTTTTTTTAAAGCAGCTGGTTTTCTAGTGGCTTTGCACAAGGACAAACTAGGTTATTCACATGCTTCTGAGAATATTCTTGTTCTTTTCTAAGTCATTACTTTATTAGATGGCATAGGAATGTCTCAGATTTATTGAAGTTCAAAAGACATAGAAAGATTAGAAAAAGCAACTGTTCCTCAAACTAAGTTTTCAGTTTATGTATATTCCATTACTATAATCTTAGCAATTTAAATTAAGAGATTTTTAAAAAAATACCCATTCCTTTATTGTCAAAAGCACCTCATTCATGTTGGCAAAAGCTCCTCTAACTAGGTAATAGCATGTCTCTTCATGTAGTTGTTAAATTAAGGCCACAAGGAAATGTTGGATATACAGAATATATCACAGAATCACAGAATTTCTAGGTTGGAAAAGACCTTGAAGATCATCCAGTCCAAACATCAACAAACCAGCCCAACCATTAACCCAACATTAACATTTCCCAACTACACCACATCCCTCAGCACTATGTCAACCCGACTCTTAAACACCTCCAGGGATGGGGACTCCACCACCTCCCTGGGCAGCCCATTCCAACACCCAACAACCCCTTCTGGAAAGAAATGCTTCCTAATATCCAGTCTAAACTTTCCCTGGCGCAACTTGAGGCCATTATATCTATCACTTATTACTTGGTTAAAGAGACTCATCCCCAGCTCTCTGCAACCTCCTGTCAGGTAGCTGTAGAGGGCGATGAGGTCTCCCCTCAGCCTCCTCTTCTCCAGACTAAACACCCCCAGTTCCCTCAGCCGCTCCCCGTACGACCTGTGCTCCAGACCCTGCACCAGCTCCGTTGCCCTTCTCTGGACACGCTCGAGTCATTCAATGTCCTTTTTGTAGTGAGGGGCCCAAAACTGAACACAGGAATCGAGGGGCGGCCTCACCAGTGCCGAGTACAGGGGTCAGATCCCTTCCCTGTCCCTGCTGGCCACGCTATTGCTGACACAAGCCAGGATGCCATTGGCCTTCTTGGCCCCCTGGGCACACTGCTGGCTCCTGTTCAGCCGGCTGTCAATCAACACCCCCAGGTCCCTCTCTGACTGGCAGTCCAGCCACTCCTCCCCAAGCCTGTAGCGCTGCTGGGGGTTGTTGTGGCCCAAGGGCAGCCCCCGGCATTTGGCCTTATGGAAACTCCCCCAGTTGGCCTCAGCCCATGGCTCCAGCCTGTCCAGGTCTCTCTGCAGAGCCTCCCTCCCCTCGAGCAGATCAACACTCCCACCCAACTGGGTGTCATCTGCAAACTGACTGAGGGTGCACTCGATCCCCTCGTCTAGATCATCAATAAAGATGTTAAACAGGAGTGGCTCCAAAACCGAGCCCTGGGGGACACCACTCGTGACCGGCCGCCAACTGGATTTAACTCTGTTCACCACAACTCTCTGGGCCCGGCCATCCAGACAGTTTTTTCCCCAGCAAAGCGTGTGCCCATCCAAGCCACGAGCAGCCAGTTTTGCCAGGAGAATGCTGTGGGAAACGGTGTCAAAGGCCTTACTAAAGTCAAGGTAGACAACATCCACAGCCTTTCCCTCATCCAATGAGCAGGTCACCCTGTTGTAGAAGGAGATCAGGTTTGTCAGGCAGGACCTGCCTTTCATAAACCCATGCTGACTGGGCCTGAGCATCTGGTTGTCCCACAGGTGTTGTGTGATGGTACTCAGGATGAGCTGCTCCATCAGCTTCCCGGGGATGAAAGTCATGCTGACAGGCCTGTGATTTCCCAGATCATCCTTCTGACCCTTCTTATAGATGGGTGTCACATTGGCCAATTTCCAATCTGTCAGGACCTCCCTGGTCAGCCAGGACTGCTGGTAAATGATGGGAAGCGGCTTGGTGATCACCCCAGCCAGCTCCTTCAGCACTCTCGAGTGTATCCCATCTGGTCCCATAGACTTGTGTGTGTCTGTGTGATGCAGCAGGTCACTGACTGTCTCCTCCTGGATTGTGGGGGATCATTCTCCCAGTCTCTGTCTCCTGGCTGAGGAGGCTGGATTCCCTCAGTACAACTAGTCTTGTTATTAAAGACTGAGGCAAAGAAGGGATTAAGCACCTCAGCCTTCTCCTCATCACTTGTTACCATGTTTCCTCCTGCATCTAGCAGGGGATGGAGGCTCTCCCTGGTCTTTCCTTTGCTGTTGACATACTTATAGAAACATTTCTTTTCCTTGATTGCTGAAGCCAGATTAATTTCTAGGTGGGCTTTTGAACTCCTGATTTCCACCCTGCATAGCCTCACAGCATCTTTGTAATCACTGTGAGGGGCTACCCCCTTCTTCCAAAATCAGTAAACTCTTCTTTTCTCCCTGAGTTGCAGCCAAAGCTCCCTGTTCAGCCAGGGTGGTCTTCTCTGTCACCAGCTTCTCTTACAGCACCTGGGGTCAGCCAGCTCCTGTGCCATTAACACTTCCTCCTTGAAGAGCGCCCAGCCTTCCTGGACTCCTATACCCTTCAGGATCGTCTCCCAAGGGATCCTGTCAAGCAGGTGCCTAAACAAGACGCAGTCTGCCCTTTTGAAGTCCAGGATGTCAGTTCTGCTTCCCCCTCTCCTGGACTCTCTAAGAATAGAGAACTACATTATTTCATGATCGCTGTGCCCTCCTCAGCCTTCAATCGCCACTTCATCCACCAGTCCCTCTCTGTTTACAAAGAGGAGACCCAGCAGGGCACCTTCTCTGGTTGGTTCACTCACCAGCTGCATCAAGAAGTTATCTGCCACACATTCCAGCAGATGTCTGGGAAGTTAAAGTCTCCCACAAGAACAAGGGCAAGCGATTGTGAGATTTCTCCTAAATGCCTATAGAATTATATATCTTTGATAAAAGCCAGGTTTCCCAGAAAACTATCCAGTCATGAAGGTAACAATAGATGAGGAATCCACCACTTCTTATGGCAGATCAATCCCTATAGTCATCAACAATATAAATACATGTTTGCCATTTAAAGTTCTTACTGTAAACAGTGAGAAAATTTTTCCCTACGAGGACAGAATTGGAGCATGGAACATCACCTCAGAGGTGATGCTGCTTTGAGTAGGGGGTTGGATTAGTGACATCCTGAGGACCCTTCCAGTCTGAATTATCCTGTGATTTTATGACACTATAATCCCAACATTAATTTGCCTGTCTCCAGTTTCCAGGAACTAGTCTTAGTTAGGCCTTTGTGGACTACCAGTCTTAGTTCTGCTGAATTATATCTCCTTGGAGTTCTCGCACCCTGGCCACCAAGCAAGATGTGACAAAATGCTTAGTCTACCTACTGTGAGTCTGAGGCTTGAAGCTCTGGCAATTCCACCCTGCAAGGATTTTCCCCACTTCTGACTCTGCAGCAGGAAATCTCCAGGCTCCCAGGCTGCCTGTTGGTGAACCCTGAGAGAAGCTCTCATCTGCATCACAGAACAGCCCAGATCCACAGACATTGCCTTTCTTCGTTCCCTACCAGGCAGACTGGCAGAAATACTTCTGACTGAAAAAACACACCACAATTTCCAGGCTGCCCCTATGCCCAACTGCAAGCAACTAACTGTAAAAATATTCTATTATATTGTCTTATTATTAAAAATGAGCTATCAAAGATAATTCAGACACAACAGAAATGGTAAGTTTTGAAATTGGAATGGTAGAGTTGTTTCCCATGTGGAATAAAATAATGCATAGTTCAGATCCTTATGTTAAGAATTACAACAGAATTCAAAATGAGGGATTTTGTTCAGTTAGGAAGCTAGAAAAAGAAAACCCATAGGAAAGAGGTTAAAAACATGAAAAAAGTTAATATGTTCTCTTTTATCCATAACAGACATTTTTTATTGTTTTGGAGACAGCAATTAGTCTAAGTAAATTAAATCATGCGTTTCATAAGATTTTTAAGAAGTTGGGAAGGCTGGAAAGAGATTAATAAGTCTAGACAAAATATCCCTGTTTAATGTGGTTATTCATGCCACCTATGAAGAATGTGATTTGTGGTGACCAAGCTCTGTAATCATTTTAGCATGATACAGAGCATCATTTGAATGAAAGAACTCAGTCATTTGAACTTTGGGGTATATAATAGTCCCTCTCATAGTGGAAGTGTGTTTAATGTGTTGAAATTAGTCTGAAGAGATAAATTCTTTCAGTTCCCTTTTTTTTTTCTGCAGATTCTTTTTTAGGCCTGAGCATTTTCCCAAGATATTCAGGAAGCTGCACTCAGGAAACGGGAGAAAAATCTGATTACACTTAAAATGCATACTGTAGTCAATGCTTTGCACTACTTCGATTAGTCCTGTGTGAACTTCTGTATTTCCTGCTGACAGTTCAATAGAACGTTCCATGCAGCTATTGCAAGGCACAGATTTACTCTTGAAGCCTGCAGAATACCACATATGGCAAAGTACATACAGTAAGTAAGGTGACAGGTAGGAGGCAGCATCTTACCTAGATCATATGGAGTCTCACCATGACAGACAAATCTCACAGGTCACAGAGAAACAAAACCAAGAGCTCAGTGAAAGTCCAGGAACACAGCAAAATAATGTACAGTTTCAGCACCAGTTCCAACACCATGCCATGGCCAATGTTTTCCAGCTCAGACCACAGGCTTCCAGGTGCTGAGCAAAAAGCCAGGAACTTGAAAACTCACCTGCAAAGGTGGCTACTTAAAATAATCAAGACTTAAAGATAAGTTTTCTGGATGATATATTTTCCTCTGGATAAACTAAGGACCATGCACAGAACAATAAATGTATGAAGGATGTTTCATAAAATCATCACCTTTTTTTTTTTTTTTAACACAAAGTCTGTAGTTTTACACATGGGGAACTCAAAGCTGTGCAGAGTAAAAAGATTTTTTAGGCTTGAAATTCAGCACAGATTTTTTACTGCAAAACATAATATTGCATGTATCAGGTGTAAGAACTGTTATTCAGGGGCTTGTGCTCCAACACAAAGGGACTGGTTAACACTAATAATGAGATGTTAAGGCTATGAGGGAATTAAGACAGTGGAGATCGTTGGTTCTATAACTTAGACCAAAGATCCAGCAGGTTAGAACCACCAATGAACAAACTTTGTTAGTACATTGTTCTACTTCCCCTAGCAACTCCAAGTGCTCTGGCATTGTGGTGATCAGTGCAGAGGTTTATGGGTACTAATCTCTTGTGTGGTCCTCAACCTTACCCTCCTTCAAAAGGGGAATCAGACAGACAACAAGGCAGGTCCAAGACCGTCTCTTTTCATTGATTCAGAAGTACCTGAAGGAACACAGCAGAGCAGTTGCTCTCAGTCAGCTTCTGCATCCATTTCCTCCTCAAAATGTGTGATGATGCTTCCAGTAAAATTAAGGGTACAAGTCAACTTGTTCAGGGTACAGCATATAGCTATATGAACTCATACATCATGTTTTAATTACAACCAGTGCAGAAACACCTCTTTTGTCCAACTTTATGAAATTCTACCTCTTTGTATTTAAATCATATGAATTCTCTGAAAGCAGTATCATTCCTGAGTCATCTTACATCCTAATTGGGCTCAAATAAGAGAGTAGGCAAACATATATAGACCGATTTATTACTTGGATTTGAGGAATATCTGCATTAGAATGACATATAAAATGCTTAACCATAATGGCTGTTATCTACTCTCCTCACTCTCGACAAGCATGTGAGCAAGAATAAAATTCAAATGCTAATTCTTAGTTCATGTTAGTCATGCTTTCTTACAATATTCAGACTTTTTTTTTTTTTTTTTTTTTTTACTTGGAAGGGAAGTGGAAGAATGGCAGTTGAAAGTAATTGATGGAAATTACTTGTTCTTCAAATTTGAATGGAAAAGCTAATTTTCATAGCTAAATTACCTAAATCTACTAACACGTAAGTTTTACTGTCAAAAATAATGCAGAGGAAGGGGGACTCCAGCTATATTTTCCTTAGTAACCCTGCTATTGAAAACCCTAAATTTAGTTAAGAGACAAAGCCCTTCCTAAGCCTTCTTATTTAACCACCCTTCCTGAACCAAATACAGTTCTCTCCAACAGATTTATTTTATCCTTCCCCACCTCCATTTTCCAAACTCAGAGCTTAAACTCTGATACCTTTATTCACACTGAAGAGTCTTAAGTAACCATACCTATTTCAGTGAGACTTCAAGAATAAACTTCTGTGTTAGCTAAGGTTTCTAAAACTGGCCATGCCTGGAAAATTCATGTGTGAAACTAAGTCATTAGGCTGGATCTCATCATGTATCAACAAGACTGTCAATTCATTTCTGATTTTACAGATGTTTTTCAGTTGTGTCATACCTATCCTTTAAACATTGCTTCAGAGTTCCAGCCTAAAATGAAGACCACAGACACAAAGCAAGATCTTCACCTGGATGGCATTTATTTTGAGTATGGATGTTGAGGACACCAAAGGATTTGTCTAAAAAGCACAGAATTAGGGAAAACACATTATTTAAAATTGTGTGGTCTAAATTAAAAGAAAAAATATATATATTTCCGGTCCAAAACATAAGAAAGGATCATATTCATTACCTACAAATGACCCTTAGAAATTTCAAAGACAAGAAAACAAGTGTCTGTGTATCTGTAGTGATTGCATTGTAAGCCTCTTCTTGGACTGAAAGATCTGGGGAGATTAGGAGTTGTTACTGTACCTTTACAAATGTTTCAACATGTTCATTTTAATCATCTGGGCTATATCTATACTTGTAGTTAAGGCTGACCTTATTGTTGCCCCAAGCCTATGAACACAAGTCTCATCTGTTTTATTCCCAGGACTTGTGCCCAAACAAACATGTATCTTAACACTAAACTTTCCAGTGAGCTCTCAAGAACAAAGTGTACTTCTGCCTTTTACCTCTCACTCAGTACTTTTTGCAGGATGTCTTGAATTTACTGATTAAGTGCCCAACCTTAGCTGAGAAATTAATCCAGAGGCAAACCTTTAGTTCTCTGGTTTTGTCTTTCAGATTGCCTAATTTAATTTTTATACCCAATTATTAGAAAAAAAAGATCCATCATGCTGTCATTTTTGCTAGTAAAGAAATTTCGTTATTTGACCAAATCTATGTAAAATTTCACTCCTTTTACTAAACTATTCTTGAAAGAGTTTTTAATTTTCGTTTATAAGGCATCTTCACTCCTGCTGCACCTGATCAGTCTCACAAGATGTTTAGAATATTTGTTTGGATAAATAGGGAAATTTTGAAAGTGTTCAGTTTGCATCTATAATTCCAAAAGTGTCCTACAATTCTGCATTTTTTTTTGTCTGAATTGATCAGGAGAAAATCAAAGTCAAGAAAATTTTCACAGCTGGTACCGAATGGATTGTTAGAATAGCTGTTTGACCTCAGAATTTTGCACATTTGACCTAAAAACCTGTGGCTGTCTTGGGTAATAATCCAGGATAGTGAGCAATTCTGCTGTCTCATTTCACAAAAGCAAAGAGTTGGAGAGTCATGATATTACAGCATCCTGATATTAAAAAGTCTTACAGATACTCTGAAGCAAAATTTAGAGTGGCATGATTCAAGGTAAATAATTCTTTGGCAAGAATATTATGGCTAAATTTTTTTTGGTGCACATCAACATCAGTCAAGAGAAAGAAAATACTTCAGCCAGTGAGTCAAATGTTAGCTTAGAACAAATTATAGACATGCTTTGAAGAATTGCACATACAATTTCTTAAGGTTTTGTTGGGTGTGTAGAACCAAAAGAAGGTCAGCTCATTGACTACATGTGGTTCAACAGCTGCTTCCTTTGACTTGCCAGAATCTTTCCTGTTGCCATGCTAAAAGAAATCTAGTACTTTGTATCTGTGATTTTAATTAGTGAGGAAACTAAAAGTATTGGATTATCAGAACTAAAACTAGAAAAAATTAAGCACTTTTTAGAAAGATTTGCAAATACTATAGATAGTCTCTAGTTCTGAAAAGGGCATAGTCTAATGACACCTCCAAAGAAAAAGGACCCTAATTTTCTTTTTATTGTTGGGAAGATTAAAGCTGGAAAGCAATACTGCTGTCACAAGTCATGTCCACCAAAAAGAAGAAAATCGAGTACCAGCACGACAGGACAGAGAGAAAATAATAGACTGAGTCAGAAAATCACAGTGGAAATTGTCTTCACTTTGTGTCGGGTAACTTCTGCTCCACTCCTCACTTCCTATCAACAAGACAGTGTTCTGCTTTACATTCTCCATGTATCATCTGTATTAATAAATTCTTTTTAAAGTAATCATTAATTAATGATTATTCATGTTTGCAGAAGATCCCTTAAGTGAATATCTTACTAATTTCTCCTTCCTTGCAAACTCCATGACTTATAAGAAGTTTGATTCTTGTTTCTTATATACTTTTTTTTTCACAATTAGAAATTTGTCTCAATGCAAAATTTAAGTATGAAATGTAATATGACAATATATCCAACCCTACCTTAAATAGCCATGAGAGACATCTAATTTGGTTTCCTAATTTAAAACGATTTATGAATGTCGATATTCTTCATCTGGAAGCTGTCATAACTGTGCAAATTAGGCTGGTAATGTTGCATTATCAGGGACACCAAACTTTCAACTAAGACAAAATAAAACATCAGACTTAGCCTTAATTAAGAAGTAGCCAAAAATTTGCTTGTACTTTTGAAACTCTTGAAATGCAGCAAATTAAAAACTCTGCTCTGGTTCAAAATATTTAAGACTTATTTGTCCAAAAAATAAAATAAAAAACTTTATTAAAAATTTCTAGAAAGTTTTGTTTATAAAATTCAGCTTATTCTTTTCAGATATGTATTTTCAGTTTCAGGGATCTTTTGAACCATTCAAAAAAAAAAAAAAAATTCAGATCTTTTTCTGCTATCAGAACATTTCATGATATTTGGATATTCCCTAGCTCCAGAAGATAAATTATGCCTCACAAAAATATGTATTTTAAAGGGATACTGAGAACAGAATAGAAACACAAATGCAAAAACCATTCTGCAGTCCTAAATAATTCTTGCAGAGAATGAAGTGACTAATTTCTTGCTCATATTGGCTTGCTGGAATGCAAAGTCAGTAGGTCTTCTTCCAAGAGTAAATTGTCATTTACAGAGCAAAACCTGATGGTTAAGCTGTGCGTTAGAGAACAGCCCAGGCTCTCATTTCACTAAAGTTCCCCAAAGAAAACAATCAAGTTTCTCAACATTCCAGTGAGAGTCTTTAAATAGACAAGTTCATGAACTTATGGGGCAGTAGAAAAAAGATAAAAACCTATGTAAGCAAAAGAAGACCTGTTATGAAGCAAACATAAACCGACCTACTGATTCTGTGCCCAGTTTAGAACAGTGATAAAGCAAATTCTGGTTTAAAAAACAAAAAAAACAAAAAAAAAACAAAACAAAACAAAAAAAAAAAAAAAAAAACCAGGATGAGAGCTGCTGGTTTATTGTGGAAAAATTTGTAGAACATAATCAGTGCATCATACCTCATTTAGATAAAACCAGACATATCTCACCTGTACTGTCAGTCCAACCTGGTTCACCTTCTCCCTGTCTGTCTGATTAGCTGTTCCACATGGACAATAAAAAAGGAAATACACAAAGTTTAATTACATTAAAATATCATGTCATATTGAATTTAGTGATGGAAAACATATTTAATATTATTACACAGTTTATAACTGTAAAATTGAAGTGGCTCAAAGGAGGAGTTAATGTAAGGTTAATCTCTATCTTCAAAAAAAGAAAGTGTGCATACTGTTCAAAAGTTTTTTTCTCAAGAAGGTCTTCTGAAGTGATTTAGGTGCATGCAGTTCTTCAGTAAGCTTTGCCTCAACCAACATCTGCTAAGGACCTTGAAAATTTTCCCTTAACATTTTGTATGCAGAATTTGAACAACGTTTATTTACTCTTCCTTAGGTTGGGTTTCTTAACCTCTGTAGTCTCCTCTTTGCCTTACAAGGGCTTTGGAATAGGAGCAGCTATAATCCTCCACTCTCTGACCTGCCATACACGAAGTCAGACAGGACAATATTCAGGCATAAGAGTCCTAGGAAAAAGGCCCTTCTCTGTGATATTTACCCATATAATTCTGAATTTGCAAAATTCATTGTCTATTGTCAGTAGAGGCCAAGCTATAATTTCAAACTCAAGCTTGCACATCCTCATCTTTTCTCTGCCTCTTTGCCACTCTTGCCTCTGAGGAGATTTCTAGGAAGACCAAGATGTGATTGACATTTTGAAAGCTGTCTTTCACTGTAAAATTTCCTTGAGGAAGTAATGGAAATTATAATGACTAGTACAAACTAATAAAGGCCAAAGACAAGCCGCTGGCTTCAGCTGGGGAATCTGCATTTTATTCTGATATCATTGGAGATAAGAGATTAAATTTTCTTTACCATTGTCTAAGACTTCCTACTTCCAAATCCTTAAACTGCATTGTGAAAAAAAATCATAGATAGGGGGACAACTTCTGTCCTAAGGCAAGGCAAGGCAAGGCAAGGCAAGACAAGGCAAAGGCAAGGCAAAGGCAAGGCAAGGCAAGAAAAGGCAAGGCAAGGCAAGGCAAGAAAAGGCAAGGCAAGGCAAGACAAGAAAAGGCAAGGCAAGGCAAGAAAAGGCAAGAAAAGAAAAGACAAGAAAAGAAAAGGCAAGAAATGGCAAGAAACGGCAAGAAATGGCAAGAAACGAAAAGGCAAGAAAAGGCAAGGCAAGAAAAGGCAAGGCAAGAAAAGGCAAGGCAAGAAAAAAGAAGAGGCAAGGAAAAAAAAAGGAGAAGAGAAGAGAAGAGAAGAGAAGAGAAGAGAAGAGAAGAGAAGAGAAGAGAAGAGAAGAGAAGAGAAGAGAAGAGAAGAGAAGAGAAGAGAAGAGAAGAGAAGAGAAGAGAAGAGAAGAGAAGAGAAGAGAAGAGAAGAGAAGAGAAGAGAAGAGAAGAGAAGAGAAGAGAAGAGAAGAGAAGAGAAGAGAAGAGAAGAGAAGAGAAGAGAAGAGAAGAGAAGAGAAGAGAAGAGAAGAGAAGAGAAGAGAAGAGAAGAGAAGAGAAGAGAAGAGAAGAGAAGAGAAGAGAAGAGAAGAGAAGAGAAGAGAAGAGAAGAGAAGAGAAGAGAAGAGAAGAGAAGAGAAGAGAAGAGAAGAGAAGAGAAGAGAAGAGAAGAGAAGAGAAGAGAAGAGAAGAGAAGAGAAGAGAAGAGAAGAGAAGAGAAGAGAAGAGAAGAGAAGAGAAGAGAAGAGAAGAGAAGAGAAGAGAAGAGAAGAGAAGAGAAGAGAAGAGAAGAGAAGAGAAGAGAAGAGAAGAGAAGAGAAGAGAAGAGAAGAGAAGAGAAGAGAAGAGAAGAGAAGAGAAGAGAAGAGAAGAGAAGAGAAGAGAAGAGAAGAGA